CGACCCATTTCATCATGGATTCATTAGACCAGGGGTGGCCAACCTGAGCCTGAGAAGGAGCCAGAATTTACCAATGAACATTGCCGAAGAGCCACAGTAATATGTCAGCAGCCCCCCATCCGCTACCCCGCTCCAGCCCCCAGTGCCTCCTACCCACCAGCATCCCCACCAATCAGCACCTCCCCCTCTCTCCCCATGCCACCTGCCCACCGCAATCAGCTGTTTTGCAGTGCACAGGAAGCTCTGGTGGGGAGGAGTGAGGGCATGGCAGGCTCGGGGGAAGGGGTAGGGGCCTTCGGGGAAGGGGTGGAGTGGTGGCAGGACCTGGGGCAGAGCAGGAGGTTGAGCAGTGAGCACCCCACAGCACATTGGAAAGTTAGCATCTGTAGCTCCAGCCTTGGAGTCAGCGCCTATGCAAGGAGCTGCGTATTAACCTCTGAAGAGCTGCATGTGGCTCCGGAGCCACAGGTTGGCCACCCCTGCATTAGACCATCGTCATATCTACAGATGCAATCATGTAGTTAGACACCAGAGTGATAGAATGCACATGCAATTATTTAGGGGAGCAACACTGTAGATGCAAAATTGGAAGCCACTTTTCAACCTCAGGCCCTATTTCTTATCTAATTTTAGGCTTTATTTAGTCCAAACATGCCTCTGTGATGTCCAGGTTTGCTAGATGTGCTAGAGCCATGGAGCTGCCTCCTATTTCATTCCAAGTTGGCAGTTCAGAAGAGGATACTCAGTCACTAGGAGACAGTATGTGACTACTCCTCCGCTGACCCCCATATACGTCAATAAGAGTATAGTGACTAGGGATCCAGTGAGTGTGTGTTCTGACTGTTCACTGTGTCCCTGATATCCTCGCAGTCATTTGGATCTTCTGGCTGAGTGACAATCAGTCAGATGATGAAGATTCTTAGAGTGGCTGAACACTGAGGAAGCAACTCTCAACTAACAGCTGTATTATGAAGCTGGTCCTGGAGATGTCAGGTGTGGAGTCATCAAAAAGGACAGAGATCTCCGTCCTTTGGGGAACTCACTAACAGTTATGGATGTCTCCTACCACTGGCAGTTTAGCTGTGTGCTGGAAGAATGCATGAAGCATCACTCTTCTCCAGTGATTGAAACCTGAACCCAGAGGGGGATCCACATTTTACAAATAGCCACTATCAAAATACTGGGCTGAATGGACCAACACAGAATGCCAGATCCAAACACCCACTGAACTTTGTGGTGTCCAGAATCTGGATCTGATGAAAATATTGGTGCAGTAATTGACTTGCCTTAAATTAGCAACAGGGAAGCCAATGGGAAACTTTAACATTTCCAAAGAATGTAAGAATTATGGATGTTTGGCTTTTTTCACGACACTTTATTTTAAATAATAGATAATTTTACTGGACCTGAATTGCAATGGAACTCTTGTAGAAGGTAACAGAGTCTACATTACTAACCACCTATTGCAAACACTAAATTATAAATGGGCAGGAGAAACTGAGTGACCTGAGTAAGTATTAAGAATTTTGAGTAGTGAAATGAATATGGTATAATTCCTTAATATGAATGTATTAATTCTAATTCCTAATTTTATGTACATATTGTATGAAAATAAGAAAATTGTGATGTATTTTTCATACTTAGTAACGTTCCTGAAACCTGGCCTTTGATTTTCTACTTAACACCACATTATGCGTAAATTAGTAAACCATATAATAATTCATACTGTCAGCTAATGTTTTATCTAATTTACGAGTGACACTTTGCAATGTATTATCTATGACCATGTTGTAATTTTTTTACAAGGACACACAGGACACAACTTCATTGTTATACTTGGAAACCAGGAATAAGCTGATTACCAGTGTTCCACTGCGTATAAATCATTACATATGCATTGGCCCAGAGAGAGAATAGCCCACTGGTCAGGGCATTCACCTGGGAGGGAGCAGACCCAGATTAGTCACCCTGCTCCAGTGACTAATTATTCATACACAATGGAACAGCTTCAACAGGAGAGACTGAGAGAACTCTGCTCCAGAGTACCCCCATAGTCCGGGGGTAAGGGCATTTTCCTGGGGGAGGGGGGAAGGGGAAACCTAGTTCAAATTCCTTCTTCACATTAGGCCGAGGGGGAAATTGAACCTGGGTCTTCCACATCCAGCCCAGCTCTAATCAGTGGGTTAAAAGGCAAGGGTGGGGTTGGGCACCACCACCTTTGTTTGTTTGAGGGTGTTTGGTGTGCGCTGAGTACACCTACTGGACCTGCCTAGCAAGCTATATAGGCAGGGGAACACCTACTTTCAGCAGCCTGCTGGGTCTTCGGTGTGAGATAGGCACCCCTGCACCTCGCCTGAGGCAGCTGCCTACATGCTCCCTGGCAGAAATTTAGGCACCTTGGGTGAGCGCCACAAAGGGATTTAGGTGTTGCAGTACATTGCAGCACCTAACTTTTAAGCACCTAGAAAATCACCAATGATGTGATCCACAAAGTCTCAGTTAGGTGTCTGGGCTCCCTCTACAGTCAATGGGGAGAGACAGCCAACTTAGATTGCGGTCTACAAAGCCAGCACGCGTGGTGGGGAGCCACCTAAGCTAGCCTTTGGAGATGCTGACCTGAGGGGTGTGGGCTAAGCCCGACCCCTTTCATGGTGTTAGGTGCCTATGTTGCATGCGAAGCCCAAAACAAAACAGCTGCGTGTGTGTGTGTGTGTGTGTGTGTAGGACCTCCTTTGTAATCGTTAACCCAGCAGATAGGGTACTCCCTAGGAAGAGGGACTCCCCGCTCCACCTGAGCGGGAGAAAGGATTTGAATTGAGTACCCTAACCACAGGTCTATGCAATGTTCTGGTGTGGGTCTCCGTCCATCTCTCCTATTGAAGTTGTTTCACTTTATTTAAATAATTGTATAATTAAATGTTAATTGGGCCAGTGAAGAGGTAGAATGACTATATAGCCCAGTGATTAGGGCACTTACTTGATATATAGCCAATCCCTGATCAAATCCCTTCTCCCCTGCAGGAGGAAGGGGGACTCCCATATTGTGGGTTACTGTCCTAGCTGCTAGCCTACAGATTATAAGAGAAGTCCTCCTGCTTGCCCCACTCCCAGCTGTTTTGTGTGAACTTGCCTAAGGGACCCGATCAGGTAGGCAGGCTCTGAGCATGCCTACTGGATTGGGTTTCCACATGTGAGTTAGTTGGACGAATGCCTATCTTCCCTGGTTTGTGAATCACTCGAGTGAGGGAGCAGTGTGCATGCTCAGAAACATAGGTGCTTAGGGAATCTTTACTGCAAATCTTATGCACCAAGTGAATTTAGATGCCCGCAGGGTTAGGCAGCAGGCAAGCGGGAGTTTTGTGGATCACAGTGGTACCTAAAAACAGGGCTTAGGCACCAAAGTACCTTTGTGGATTGCATTCCTAGTGACTTTGGGTGCCTGCTAGTTTAGGCAGTGGCTCAGCAGGGAGTTTGAGGATCTCAGTGGTGCCTAAATGTTGGAGTTAGGCACCAAAGTCCTTTGGTGGATCTAGCCCTTAATCCGTTTAGATTCTATGTCTTTGATTTTGGGACTCTATCCAGGATTTATATTAGGGATAATCTAGTATACTTAATCCTGCCTCAGTCTCTAAATGATCTGGACTAACTGACCTCTTGAGGTCCCGTTGAGCCCTACATTTCTATGGTTCAGATAGCCCTAAATTCAAACACAAAGTTATTCCCACAGTTATTTGCACCTGCAGTTGGAGGCCTGGTTAAAACCAAGGCCAATATTGTGTAATTATTCCCATTGATTATCCAGTTAATTATGATCCATGTTATTACACCTGGCATATTAGTCATTAATGTATGTACAGAGGTGTGTAGCTTTATGGGGTAAGATACTGAGTCTTGATTTTTGTTGAAGGAAGTTGCATACAATGCTGAAAACTGACCTTTCAAGTGCATCCAATTTTTACAAGAGATACCTTGTTTTAATGTCAGCAGAGTTCCATGGTAATGCTCCCAATAGGTTTCAAAAGTATTTTTCTGCTAAACTGCCTTTCAGAAAGTGGCTTGTTGTAGATATTAAAGCAGCTCTTGATGTGTCTTACCAAGCTATTTTTATTTATAATACCATTATTATAGTGGAGTAGACCTAAAAGCAGTAGTAGGCACATAACATATTGATCCAGCTGTAAGAGAGTGGGAGAGAACTTTCACTCCAGGGTTTTTATTTATCAATTACTACTTACAAATCATAAACCTTAACAGAGGCCAATGCTGATCCTCAAATGAGTGAATGAAATGGCACTTCGTAATGACACAGAACTGCTTCTCTGAATATACGATGCAAAGAGTTTGTATCGCTCAGTTTAATTAGACAAGCAAGTTAACTTTTAAGGTCAGGGGTTGGACTGAGACAGTATACCGTGGTCCTTCGTGACAGCATTTCTCTGGGAACTCAATTACTTTTTGCAGGATAAAAGCTATGATTAAAAATAGTTTCTAGGTTTATGGATATAGAGAGAGAAAAAAGCTCTGGGAGGTTTGCATGACTTCCATTCATCTCAACAGGGTGTCGATAATGGTGCATAATTCACATATTAGCACCATTGACTATTTCACTGCTGATTATTTTAGCCAATCATCCAGCTATTCTGGATTGGAGGCAGAATTCGGGTAAGTGAAGGAGGCTGATATAGAATGCAACCTGTTTTTTTTTCTTTCCTCTGACTTAGATTAAATTGAGAGGGTAAAGAATGAGAACCTCATCCTCTGGACCTTATTTTCCACCATCTGCTCTGTAAAAATCATAGTCCTAACTCAAGCACCTTCCAGTGATGTTGCAAGGAAAACTTAGTATTTCTACAGTGCGGTGAAAATATAAAGCACTGCATCATATGTGCATTTAAAATACAGATTTATGGTGCTCCAGTTATGTTAATTGTGAACAACAGTTCAACTACTTTAAGAGGCTGAATTTGATCCAATACAGTTGATGAACTTCACATGCTTACCTCTCCATTGAAGAAGCAAAATATAGTTGCGACAAGTAAGCCCTAAGAAGGACAAAAAGAAAATAGGTTAGAATATTTCCATGTTTGTCCATTATTGCTAATTTAAGGCTCAGAGTCATGAGATGAAGGGATTATGCTACACTCCTACCTCCACAACCTCAAATGACTGTTCTGTATAGTTTATAGTCAGGTATTACAGTATCCCATTGATTTTTGCCTTTCCACCATGTTTTACTCGTGCCTATGTTGTCATGGTCTGCTGTCATTACCAGCCATTCCAGTTCACATATTTTTGCCTTTAAGCATTACAGTTGCTTCCTGTCAGGGAGTGCTAGAAAAGGGACATTAAATGGGCAGATCCTAGTCCAAGGTAAGGGGGCACGCTTAGGAGCAGAGCAGCTCATTGGTATGGAATCTTGAGACAGATGGGGGGAAGTTGAGTGACCTAGATGCTACTGCTCTTCTTTTGGAAGAGGGATGCGAGGGGAGCAGTACAGGCCAGGTGTCACATGTTCTTTTTTCAGCAGGAATATGGAGTGCCCCAGGAGCACAGGTGTCGGCTTCCTCCTTCCCCCGAGGTGCTCAACTGCTGCTCCACTCCAGGCCCCACCCACTCCACCCCTTCTCCCAAGACCCTACTCCCACCCCACCTCTTCCTGACCCCACTTTGCCTCTTCCTGCCCCCTCCCCCGAGATGTCTCCTGCGTGCCATGGAACAGCTGATCGTGGTGGGCGGGAGGCGCTGGGAGGGAAGGGGAGGAGTTGATCAGCGGGGCTGCCGGTGGCCGGGAGGTGCTGAGGGGGAGGGAGGAAGCTGGCTGCTGGTGGGTGCTAAGCTCCTGCTAATTTTTTTCCATCAGTGCTCCAGCCCTGGAGCACCCATGAAGTCGGCGTCTATGCCCAGGAGCTCTTAACTAGAATGTGTGTTTGGAGAAGTGAGCCTGGGAATGGGAGGCTGCATATGCCTACATGGAAGCATCAGTGGATGGGAAAGAAGGAGGAGAGAGAATGGGGTGAGCAAGAGGATAGAGAACAAATAAAAAAAGGGAGAACACTGGTCCTAACTTGACCCTCGCTGTTTAAAATTAATCTAAGTAACACACTAGGAGTCAAGAGGGATATTTCATTAGTGCTGCAGCAAAATGAAACAGTGTCAGGTCAGGAACATGTGATGAGGATGCATAAAATAAAGAAGAGCAATTTCTCACACTTGGGTTCTGCAATGCAGAGCCACTTAAGTAGAAAAGAATTTTTCTTAAAAGATTTCTGTACTGTGTACTAAAAGGTATATTAGATCTTATTAATAGCATTACACAGCCACATTTAATGTCAAGTGCATTCATTTTAGATCACTTAAAATATTCCTTAAACAGTAATAAAATAAAGGTAGCAAAGAATTTTAGGGGGAAATTGCAACGTAGTGGCTAGCATTCTTCCCCTCCCTCCCCCCCTTTGCTGCGCCTTGATCCTGGAGCAGACTGGGAGTTGATCTGCCTTCCAGGGTTGCTCTAAATTGTGGCCATTTTTGCCCAACTGCCTATGGCCCAGCAGCTGGGAACTGGTGAGTTACTTCTATGCTTTGCCTCATCCCCTTTTCTCCAGCCAACCTCAACAGGACAGTAAAGCCAGCTTTAAAGCTCCTTTTGTGCTGCTGGATTTGGCCCTTAGGTGAGATACAGCAACATCAGTAAAACACTTTATTATGTGTTCCCCTCTATGGCATAAACACAATGGATACTACTTAAGAAAATACAATCCATACGAATAAAAATGAATGCTCAGTTACTGTAATTTAAAGAAACAAAAGTTTCCCATGATTTTGAAAAACTCGGTTGTAGCTAACTGTAGCTGACTGTGCATTATTTTGAGTGGAAGCTTAATCCTGCTTTAAAGTTTAGATAGCTTTCCATTTATACAACCAAGCATTTTTCAAAGATGCATTTCTTAGCCTACCGGGGGAAAAAAACGATTTCTACATTGGCTTCACGTTCCTGTTTTCAGCACTATCAATTTTTTCCCTCCCCCAAGATGTTTCAGAAGAGAGCATCAGAATCTCTCTCCATTAGCTTTAAGATACTTTGCCAAAGTGCTTTTTTAAATTCCTCTGCTCTTGTGTTAGCATGAACTGGTAACATTCATTATCTGAGTAGCACAATATGCATGGTGTAACAATAGATAAACTATGCTAATACTGTAATAAGGCTGTGTTAAGGATTAATTCTCATGGCACCCTTATAGTAAGATATTGAACATATATGTGGTATCTATTCTGTGTATTGTTTTTTTACTTCAAATCTTCCAACAGTGAAATCAGAAACAAGCTTTGCCGAAATCAGACGCAACTTTGAGGGCAATTTCTTTGAAGGGATAAAGAATGTCCAGGAAGTTGTTAATCTATGGTTTTGGAATAAAGAAAACACTTCAAAAAAAGCATCTCTGTTCTCAACTTGGAAGTTGTTTTCTCTATATTATATGGAAAACATGTAGAATGTGGAAATGGAGACTGTGAGATGACTGATCCCAGAGTGAAAGCTACAGTAACAGAATTCATAGTATGAAGCATTACAGTTTGGACATACCATCCTTGTGGCCATAACAAAAACAAAAAGATCACAGGTTATTCACAGTCCCCTCACCGCCAATAAGGGCTGATATTCACCATCTGGAAAAAATGTAACTTGATTTCTGGAAAGACCAGGTCAGTTCACTGCTGTCAGGAGAGGGCCACTTGGGCTACTGATAAGGGCAGTAAAGGTGCTACAAGCTCACTGCCAGCTGGCTGGCTGCAGACTGAGCCAGTACTTCTGCTGAAAAGCCATGGGTATGTTTACACAGCATTTGGGAGAGAGCCTCCTGGGCCAGATCGACAAATGGGTTAATGGGGCTCATGCTAGTGCTCTTAAAAACTGCAGTATAGACAGTGCTTTGAAATTGTGACTTGGGCTGGAGCGCAGGCTCTGAAGCCTGGGGGGTGGGGAAGGTGGGCATGACCCACTAGTTTAAAGTGCTGTCTATACAACTATTTTCAGAGACTAGTGTGAGCCCCGCTAGTCCAAGTCTGTCAACCTGGGCTGGGAGGCTCACACCCACTCACTCCCCAGTGCTGTGTGTACATACCCAGTGTGATCTGTGCTTGCAAGGAAGAACAGCCTAATATCATGACAGGCACTGTAATCTAGTGGACAAATCCCTTATTATATCCCCACCCTCTTCCTCTGCTCTTGGCTCCAGGTGAGAGTAGAATAAGATACAAGAGCAGCTAAACAGAGCGGGGAAGAGGTGTGCAGGACTGTTTATGATTGGGATGTATGCCAAAAGATACATTTCACAAACCCAGAATTAGGGGTGCTTCTGCAGCCCCTGGCTTGAAGTGGATTCCATTATATACAGGGTTTGCAGTTAGGTTCAATGGCTCTCAGCACACCCACTATAGAAATTGTTCCAGCAACCCTGCACAAACCCATCCAAAATCCTCTCAAGATCCTAGCCTGAGCCCCCTAGTTTGCAAGTATCGAAGTTTACTCACTTTCCACATTCTTTTTAATCGTCATTGAAGCACTTGTTGCTCCTTCCCCTATTAAAACAATTCTAGGAGCTGAGTTTAAGGGAGAAGTGGCCAGAGTAATATTTGTTCTGCCCCTTATGGAAATTGTGGTCAGCCTTATCTGCATCAATTTGGGCCAGTTGCCAACCTTCTTTGAAAGCATGGCTATTTATTGATATGTATTGCAGCACCTAATCAGGGCAGAGATCAGGGCCCTATTGTGATAGATTCTGCACAAACACAGGGCAGGGATCAGGGCCCTATTGTGATAGATTCTGCACAAACACAGAAACAAAAGATAGTGCCTGCCCCAAAGAGCTTACAATGTAAATATGACAAGAGACAACAAGTGGATACAATAAGCCGATGGGGGCAACACAAGGAGCAGTGACACACCCCTGGTTGGCATGGCCAGCAGTGGTCACATCACACCAGCAGCCTAACCATTTTTGTGTTTTTCAGAGGCATCATGGCACAGGAGAGTTTTACAAGGAGTGAGGTGGCACTGCAGATGACATATTTCCAGCTTCCTTTTCCGGAATAGGAGGAAATCCGTGAATTAATGAGATTTAGACTATTGCACACTGCTAGGATTAGATCAAGAATACTCGCACAGCATAGGTTCCTAACATTAAGCTGAAAAGAATAGATGACACTGCTAGTTGCTTTTAGTGACAGTAAATACTAGAGAGTGACTTGCTTGTTCTTCAACATTAGGGCCTCTGATACTTTCGTTTGGATAAAAGTTGCTTCTTCACTAGGGTTGTGAAATATGAGCATCACAGCTCCTATATATACCACTAGCTCTGCCTGATACTGCAAGACTGTTAGGGGATGTGTACATGGCCCGTGGAAGCAAGTCTGAGGATGGGGGTGGGCTTCAGAGCCTAAGCGGCAACTTTGAAGCACTGTCTACACAGTTATTTTTAGAGCACTAGTGGGAGCCCCTTAGCCCAAGTCTGCCGACCTGGGCTGGGAGGCTTGCTCCTGTGGGCTGTGTAGACATACTTTCACTTTCTGGGATGTCTTTATCTTTACCTAAAGAGATGCCATGCCTTCCTTCTGTACTTATTCTGCAAAGTATATGAAATCTTTTGCATTTTTATTTTTGCTCCATCAGCGTTCACAGCTCTGCACGTACTTTCTCCTTAACTGTGAAACTGCAGAGCCACAGTATTATTAGATATTAGCCTTGTTTTCTAAGCCAGGGGATTTAGGGTACAATTGATTTTAAGATTGCTGTGTTTGTACTCTAGCTTTAAACAGCAGGGAGCTGCATTTCCAAGAATGTCATTGGTGGCGGCCATTGATTCCTTCCTTGAGGACCACAATGTGCAGATTACTCCTTAAATTTCTCTTTTCTGTATCTCCTGTGTTCCTTGCTGATACCATTAGTTTCTGCTTGAGCTGCTGCAATCTTTGTTGAAGCTGAGGTCACTCATCCTCCATCAAACAGCCCTCCCTTTGCCTCCTCTACCCACAGTATGGAGTAATTAAG